TCGGGTTTGTGTGTGTATATATATATATATATATATATATATATATATATATATATATACACATATACACACAAACTTCTTGGCTAGGAACATTCAGCTTATTTAAGTTCATTAGATAAAAGTAGAAGCCTATATATTTCAATGAAAAAAGAAGAAAAAGGCTATATAGCAAAATTAGAGAGAGAGAGAGAGAGAGAGAGAGAGAGAGAGAGAGAGAGAATCAAATAGTACCAGAGGGAGAAGAGTGTCAGATGCACTTGCTGATTTATTGACAGTTTGTATCTATGACTCAAAAACAACAAGTAGGCAGGCAAATCCAGCCGATATCCCACTAAGTGATATTAGTTATTATACTAAAACCCAATAGTTCAGTGACCATCCAGACCAACATTTTTTATAGACAGGTTAAAAAGCTTGGAATAATGTAGTTGATGTTACTAGTCTTGTGCAAACCTGCACTATCAGGCATGTACAGACAGAGTGAGTGTGCAGGCCACAGAGAGATGATGCCATCCATACATACATGAAGCTGAGGTTCATTTTTGAGATGATTCGCTGACTTTTGGAAAGACAACAAACTTCCACTCTATATAGTTACAAACACAGACATGTAGAACATGTACACTACTGTGCAAAAGTCTTAGGCCACTAGTATTTTCACCAACAACAAATGGTTTTAGGTCAGTTAGTTCTATTTGCTGATGCAATGTGTCAAGTAGGAAATATTAGTTTACATTTCCAAACATTCATTTTGCCATTAATTGTAATACTCTAGTGAGATTTTGTATGCACAAGGAGAGAGACAGCCAGTGCTCCACACAGAGATCTGATCTGATCATCATCCAGTCTGTCTGGAATGACATGAAGAAACAGAACAAACTGAGACAGACTAAATCCAGAAGAACTGTGGCAACATCTCCATAGATGCTTTAAGAAACTTAACTGCAAAACTACCCTAAAAACTATGCACATCGATAAATAAAATCGATTTATGACATTATTTTTGAAAGCATCCTCACTGTAAAGCAGTTTTACACAAGTGCCTAAAACTTTTCGCAGTACTGTAGTTTTGTAGCTAGGTTTCTTGCAGCATCTTGGAGACGTTGTCACAGTTCTTCTTTAGCCTTTCTAAGTTTGTTCTTGATCAGATCTCTGTGTGGAGCACTGGCTGTTGTCAGACTCCTTGTGCAAACAAAAATCTCACTGGAATTATTACAATTAATGGCAAAAGGAATGTTTGGTAACGTAAACTGATATTTCCTACTGACACACTTCAGCAAAAGATAGTACAGTAGTGCATATCACCAAAAAAAAAAAAACACACTGTATAGAACAGGTATATCACACAACGGAAAAACTGAAAATGTATAATTTTACACGTTAAAAAAAAAAAAGTGTACTTGATTCAATGTAACAAATGTAAGTAAAACATAAGGTTTACCATGTAAATAAACTAACTGCAGGTTGAACTCCCTGTATAACATATAACTGTTTTGTCGGAGCATTAGTCAACATTGATATCGAAGAAGGAGACCTGTTTGGCATTAGTGCGATGACAGTAATTGCACAGAAATTATCCTGCAGCTCTAATAAACTAGTGAAGACTACTGGAAGAGTAGCCTGCATGCAGTGCCCCCAAAAGCATGGCAATGTATTGCGGATACTTTAGCCAATGACATTTCATGCAAACATTTTTACAGCTAAACCCTGCAGTCTATATCTGTAGCTACTAGCTAGTTGGCGGCAATGCTGCCTGAAAATAAAGTTTCCCGTGTATCATCACCTGAGTCATACAACAGTTCTGTTTGCCAAAGGAAAAGAAGGGTACAAGAAAGAGAGAGGGTGAGAGAGATGCTAGAAAGTTATCACATGCTTTAAACCAACCTTTTCTCTCTCTCTCTCTCTCTCTCTCTCTCTCACACACACATCCATCTCTGCTTCAACTATGATAAACAAATGAGTCATCTAAGGCTTGGTGAGAACACTGACTCACTAACGCTTCATTCTCTCACTCCCCCTGCAGCAACACACACTCAGCCAAGCACACAGCAGCTCCTAAACAAAGTGGATATAAAAAAGAAAAACATTCAGGGCAAAGGAGTTAGAGAATGCAACAGGAAGGAAATGCCAAGAGAAGGGGGTCCATTACAATAAAGATGTGTTTTGTACACACTTAAAGGGATAGTTCACCCAAACATGTAAAATTCTGTCATAGTTTACTCATGCCGTGTCATTTCAAAACTCAAAGAACTCAAAACTTTCTTATAGCTATAAAACAAGTTATTTTTAAGAATGTTGCAACTGATTTTGCCAATACAATTAAAGTCAACGGTGTGCAAACAGCGTAGAACTTATTGCATAGACAAAAAATAAAATGAATAAAACATTGAGGCATTTCATTTAATTGTAACTATATTTTATGTTACACAGATGCAAGTCAGTCAAACAGGTTTGGAATGGCAAGTGACTAAATGAATAAAGCAGCTTATCGTTTTAACTAGTCTGAACTGTATTATTTAGAAGATAAAAATTATTCTTCCAGTTTTTAAATACTGGAAACTGAGACCAAGGCTGACATACTCAGGAAAAGTGTCTTTTAGAAAAAAAAGAGACATGATTTTAGGAGACATGACTATCAAGAAAAACAATCATATTTAAGATTGCTCACCTTTAGATGCCGATGTAAGCCCCTCAGATTTCATTAAATCTATGCTGGCATAGGCACCGTTCTCTGGGGGAGGAGCGCTGGAGGATGGCAAGGGAAGCGCATCATGACTGTTCCCAGGCCGGAGATCGTCTCTCAGGTCTAGGGCGATGTAGTTCAGGCCATTCTGGTGTTCCACAGGTAGAGTCCTTGCAGACCTCACAGCGGGGGAATTGTCTCGATCTGAGGAGTTTCCATGTGTTGCCTCACTGCCAGATGTCACGCCGTCAGTCCAAACACAGTCAAAGTTCTGACCCTTGCTGCGGCCCACCTGCTGAGCCCCACTATTGCCAGGCACGGTGCCATTGGCGTCTGGGCCACTTCCACCTGACGCTCCTGATGATGTGACAAAGGTCTCCGAGCTGTGTCTCCGCCTGCCATGGGGGTCAGCACGGACAACCTTAGGCTCAGTCGGGGGGCTGAAGGGGAAAAAGTGTTGCTCCAGAACATACAGGTGTTCAAGCATGGCTGTAGGGCTCTTGGACTCCTCCTCGGGCTCAAAAGACATTTCCGTGTAGTCATCAGGCTTACACACCGTGAGCCCACTGCAGTGGGAGGATGAGGAGGGCCGGATATATGAAGGAGGATTCCAGGGGGCCACCAGGGAGGGCCGTGGGGACTGACTCTTTGGTGGAAGACCATCCATCTCGACAGTCATGTAATCCTGTGGCAGCGGAGACTTGCGGTGCTCTCGGTTAATGCTTTGGGTTGAGGGGGAGCCTTCAGCAGACAACGAACAGGCAGAATATGTTGGCCGATCTCCAAATGCAATATTAATGTATTCTCCAGGGCTGGAAGGACGCACCGGCACTTCTGCTGCTCGCAGAGAGCTGTGCAAACTCCGCCTTCCAAGGGGAAGGCGGTTCGGCCGAACGGCACGGCGGTCTGTGAAGCCATTGTGTTGAGTGGACTCAGGAGGTGGGCACCTGCTACTACGATCTGGGGTGGCTGTGGGTGAATTGTAGACCGGTTTTGCTGGGGAACTCATTCGGACGTAATCGTCATGCTCAGCCTGGTCTCTGGATGGCGCTTTGTATGAGCGAGGGAGGGAGAAATATGGACTGTATGACTTGGGGACACCAGGAGTGGTCAAGGCATAATAATTCTCAGCGGAGACCTTTTGAGCATTAGCTGTGGAGCTGCTCTGAGACATATCCATGTATTCTGCATTCTCATGGCGGTCCGAGGCTCTTCGTCCCTCTGCTCGTCTGCTAATGTCAGGGCTGGATGGGACGGGAGAGTCAGTAGCCCCACTTCTACCTGGGAGCATCATCATATAGCCTTGAGAGTCCATGTGCTGGGGAACATGTAAAGCAGCACTTTGGACTTGTGCAGAGGCAGAGAGGAGGATATTTGGTTGCATAGGCATGTAGTCTGCATCACTAGTGGAGGGCAGCACACCTGCCATCATGGGCATGTACCCATCATCCTTAGGCACGTCTGCAGGCCGTAGGCTAGGGGGCCGGTCTTGGCTGTGTTCAGAACTGGAGCTGTAGTCAGAGCAGAGGGAGGAGGAGGTAGAGACAGTCTGGACACTGCCACCCCAAGAGCTACTCTCAGCCACAGCCTCGTCCAGCGAGAAGGTGGTCTGGGTCATCTTCTGATAAACAGCAACTCCAGCAGCACTAGCGCCCCCACCCTGCCTGGAGAAGGAGGGAGTCCGCCTCCTTAAAGACCCCGATCGTGAATCTTCATCTGCACTCTCATCTTTGATGGCCTCAGCTGCACTCGTTCCAAACACGTCACGATTCCAGCCCATAGCCATATAGTCATTGAGGCAGTGCTCCTCACGGATCGGTGGTGTGTTTCCCAGGGAGTCAGGGGTATTGCTGCGCACTTTGAAGTACCGGAAGTCTCCGGGGCTGGAGCCGTACTCATCAGATGAGTTAAAACCTCCATCGCTCGGGGAACCACAAATGGACGCGCTGGAGGGGCGAGTGATGGTGTCTGACACAGAGCCATGGCCGCTGCTGCTGGACATGCTGATCGGACTGGTGGTAGAAGGAAAGTGTGACACTGGCAGCGAGGCAGAACGAGTATGATAAGTGGAGCCTGGCGGGGCACGAATATAGCGGGTCCCTGCCCCACTGCTACTTTCCTGTCGGCTCAGGTTAGCGCGGGCTGTGTTGAGATGAATAAGGCTACCTGTCACAGAGCGAAAGGGGCGGTTCATTGTGCTTTCTCCCTCGCTGGAGGTGCGGAATCGGTAGCCACTTGTTCCACTGCTCTTCCTGCTGGGTGGCGTGCCCACCACAGATTCGGTCCGAGACCGCCGCTGGAGCCCCGTCTGGCTGGGCGGGAGGTTGCCCAAGTGTCGCCGCGTGGTGATGAAACCCATTGGGTTGGTGCCAGAAGACTGGCTTTTGCTTCTGGGCCTGAACTCGGCAAACGCCTTCAGTGCCTTCATGGTCTCTAGAATGGTTTCATGCATGTTCTGAGCCACCACAGAATCATCCACCTGCATCCAAACCTCCCCAGGTCCTATAGACGAAGACCGGCCGACCTCGATGAAGAAGAAGCTCTCTGAATGGCCGCAACGTCTGATGTTCATCAGCTGTAAGTTCACGCAAGGTGTCTCAGAGTTCAGCTTCACCAGGTGAATGCTCTTGGCAGACAGACAGAGCCTATAAACGCCAGATAGATTCTTTATCTGGCCCAAGCCCTTCGGTTTAACAGTTACCTGCCACACTTCCTTAAAGTCAGTCCCAGGGGTCACAGTACCGTACCCATCGTCAATCTCATCCGCATCCAGGTGGCCTTTCTTGCCCTCACTCATGAGCTCACTGAGCGCCTGGTACCACTCCTCCTGCTCCTGCTCATTCTCAGAGACAATCGCAAAGTATTCATCCTTAGTATACAGAGCAATGAGATGCTTATTCTTAGAATCCGCCCTTTTATTCACAGTGAAACACTGGTAGAGATAGATCACTCTTTTGGGGGGAGAGGCGCCAGCTGAGGCGGCGGCGTTTGAGCGCAGAGTGTTTCGAAATTTCTTCTCACTGTCATAGTACTCCAGCCTGCTCGGCCCCAGATGACTCGACGCCCGCAAGACGAAAAACCTCTTATGGCCGTGTTTCTGCTTTCTCAGATAGCCACACTTCCTAATGTCGTCTGACACCGTGTTCACAGCAGGGCAAGCTGAGGTAGTAGTGTGTGCGCTACTCGCTGCAGAGTCCTCAAGCGCCCGGTTAAGAGAGGACGCGGATGCTTTCCTCGCCGGCGATTCCAGGTGCTGTTGCTGCTGTGGATGTTGTTCAGTCGTTTGATGAAACGCAGCGCCGCCGACATCAGCTACGGAAGGGGGTTCCCCGACAGAAGTGTCGCCGTTCGCCGTTGCAGCTGCAGGTTTAGTCCCGATTGCCCGCTGTTGCGTTTCCAGCATCAACATTGCGGCTTTGCCTTCTTGGTAGTTCTCGAAATTTGCCATCAGATAGGAGATTTAAGGTCACTTTACCTCAGGGTTTTAGACTGAGACCCCATGTTTGTTTGGGGGGAACTTAAGTCTTTTCAGTGTTGAGCTTCTGTCGGCCGCCACATGAAATGCAGGTATCCCAGCCAATGCTCCCCGAACTCACTGCCAGCAACTGCAACATGACCACATTTACCCGATCTATTATCGGTAGATCCTCCTAGCTTGCTACCAATCTGCTGCTCGCGCCCTGTGTACACTATGGAGCGCGAGCACAAACAACACATGACTCGTGCGTCATTCGCCTGGGGGTGGGAGCAGGCGCCCGATTGAGCGAGACGTGTGATTGAAAGCTACTGTGACCAATCACGATGGAACTTTTCGGAACTATGTTAATGTCACTGACCAATGGTTTCGCTCGGAGTTTCATTGAACTGGCAAGGTGACGTCTGATGATTGATAGGCTTTTGTCCAATAATATTCTGTAAAGCTGGTTGCGTCATAGAATGTCGAGCGTTCATTGGCTATAGCGTTTGACTGAAGAGTCACCCGCCCAATCACAGACGTTTTCAAGGTTCCTTGTGTTGTTGAGTGTGCCTTTGATGCGCATCGCTTTGCAAGTGTACAGAAGGCGATTGTGCTTAATTACTTTTGTTACATGTTTGCAAACTATTTTTGTAGTTTATATATTGTGAGCTTGGGGCTGGGCTCAAAGTAACATCTTGCATATCAAAAATCAGAAGCAGAGAGATTAATAACTGAATATGAATCCCCAATCATCAAGATTTTGTGAAAATGACGTTGTGATCTGTCTTTCAACTAGCCTTTATAAATGTAAATCTTTATTAAAGGAAAAAAATGAAGTAACATTTTACTAACTGAAAAATGAAATAAAATGTTATTAACAATATTATGCCTCATCATTTGGCCAAAATCCACATTGGATCTCGATCAGAAGTTATTACAAACACTCAGTGGTGATTAATAGTAACGTTTAAGTAAGTGATAAATTAATCTCAATAATTGCCATATGTAGCTTGAAGCTAATTGTAGCTATAATTTCTCTGTTGTATCCATGTGATTATATTCCAGGATGTATTTTATCAAAAGAAATCATATAAGTTCATAGGAAAATGTTTCATTCTCTAAAAAGATTTTATACAATGTATATCAGGATCAGAGGGATGTGGGTGGGCAAGCCATGTAATGCCGTGAGTAAAGCAGTGCCACAACTTACACATCAGTGTTGACTAGTCTTAAAAAGTAAGTCATCTGATTTTTATTTTCCTTCAAGACTGGTCATAACTTTTTTTAATTCAGTTATGAAAAGGTATTGGTCTTATTTGTATTGGAAAAGTAAGACTGATTACCCCTTGGCAACTGCTAGTTGGTCAAACTAGTTCTTAAGACAGTCTTAACATGGTGGCTAAGTTTATGCAACTGGCCCCATATCATCTTTTCTCCAAATCAATGTAATGTCAATATTTCCATCCACTGAATGTAAGATTTTTTTTCATATTCCATAGGCCTGCTTATATGCCATATGCCTGCATATGCCAAGTTGTGAAAATTCTGAGAATAAATCTAGGAATTATTGGATTGTTGGACTTTAAATCACTAGGGGTTGAGGCATCGAATGTAACTGACTAGCTGTTTTATGGAGAGTAACTGTAATATTATTACTGAAATCTTAGTAGTAATTAGTTACACTACTACTGCAAAAAGTAATATTATTACTGTAACTAGTTACTGCCCAACATTGCTAACTAGTAATAAAAAAAAATTGAATACGAGCTACTCCCTGATAAACATTTCACTCTGACACTCTGTTTGTGAAATAATTATTATGTTCTCTCATTTGGAACTACGGTTAATAACAAATTGAAATGTATTTTGGTGAAATTTAATTAATGAGAAGTTCAATTTTTAATGTTTGTTTAATTGATGGCAAGTCGGAGTCTCTTAATATAATGAGGGTTTAACTTTCCTTATAAAAGTTTTTTTTTTCTCTCTCTCAGTGTTTTTGTGCCACTTATTTCCCTACAGAGACACTAATGCCTCAAATGTTCCCTCACGGCATGATTATTCTGAAATATAAACATGTATTATAGAACATTTTAAATGACAAAACTGGCATCAAAAACAGCCAACCAAAGTTAACTTTTTTTTTTTTAGCAGATTCACAACCTTTAAACACCTAGATGCATGACAGTTACACTGAGAAGGAGAAGAAATAGTTAGTTCATAATTATTAAAAAACACTGTATGCAAGTGGTGGGTAATCTTGCTGTGAGTTGATGGAACAGGTTTTGAGAGAAGGTAATCTGGTTAGGGGTGACCTGGTGGCTCTGCAGTCTTATATAGAGTCAGTACTGGATGTTGTGATCTGTCTTTCAACTAGCCTTTATAAATGTAAATCTTTATTAAAGGAAAAAAAATGAAGTAACATTTTACTAACTGAAAAATGAAATAAAATGTTATTAACAATATTATGCCTCATCATTTGACCAAAATCCACATTGGATCTCAATCAGAAGTTATTACAAACACTCAGTGGTGATTAATAGTAACGTTTAAGTAAGTGATAAATTAATCTCAATAATTGCCATATGTAGCTTGAAGCTAATTGTAGCTATAATTTCTCTGTTGTATCCATGTGATTATATTCCAGGATGTATTTTATCAAAAGAAATCATATAAGTTCATAGGAAAATGTTTCATTCTCTAAAAAGATTTTATACAATGTATATCAGGATCAGAGGGATGTGGGTGGGCAAGCCATGTAATGCCGTGAGTAAAGCAGTGCCACAACTTACACATCAGTGTTGACTAGTCTTAAAAAGTAAGTCATCTGATTTTTATTTTCCTTCAAGACTGGTCATAACTTTTTTTAATTCAGTTATGAAAAGGTATTGGTCTTATTTGTATTGGAAAAGTAAGACTGATTACCCCTTGGCAACTGCTAGTTGGTCAAACTAGTTCTTAAGACAGTCTTAACATGGTGGCTAAGTTTATGCAACTGGCCCCATATCATCTTTTCTCCAAATCAATGTAATGTCAATATTTCCATCCACTGAATGTAAGATTTTTTTTCATATTCCATAGGCCTGCTTATATGCCATATGCCTGCATATGCCAAGTTGTGAAAATTCTGAGAATAAATCTAGGAATTATTGGATTGTTGGACTTTAAATCACTAGGGGTTGAGGCATCGAATGTAACTGACTAGCTGTTTTATGGAGAGTAACTGTAATATTATTACTGAAATCTTAGTAGTAATTAGTTACACTACTACTGCAAAAAGTAATATTATTACTGTAACTAGTTACTGCCCAACATTGCTAACTAGTAATAAAAAAAAATTGAATACGAGCTACTCCCTGATAAACATTTCACTCTGACACTCTGTTTGTGAAATAATTATTATGTTCTCTCATTTGGAACTACGGTTAATAACAAATTGAAATGTATTTTGGTGAAATTTAATTAATGAGAAGTTCAATTTTTAATGTTTGTTTAATTGATGGCAAGTCGGAGTCTCTTAATATAATGAGGGTTTAACTTTCCTTATAAAAGTTTTTTTTTTCTCTCTCTCAGTGTTTTTGTGCCACTTATTTCCCTACAGAGACACTAATGCCTCAAATGTTCCCTCACGGCATGATTATTCTGAAATATAAACATGTATTATAGAACATTTTAAATGACAAAACTGGCATCAAAAACAGCCAACCAAAGTTAACTTTTTTTTTTTTAGCAGATTCACAACCTTTAAACACCTAGATGCATGACAGTTACACTGAGAAGGAGAAGAAATAGTTAGTTCATAATTATTAAAAAACACTGTATGCAAGTGGTGGGTAATCTTGCTGTGAGTTGATGGAACAGGTTTTGAGAGAAGGTAATCTGGTTAGGGGTGACCTGGTGGCTCTGCAGTCTTATATAGAGTCAGTACTGGATAATCCACATAGGGCATGATAATGTAGGTCGCCATCTGCTGCGTTTACTGACACAATAACAAGAGGGCACTGTTATACAGTATTTCAGTGCTTCTGAACTTCTATTGCATCTCAGGATGAATGCATTTCAAGACTCATAACACACATTAGCCCTTTTCCCATTAAACAATATAGCCTGTCCTTTTAAAGAAACAACACACAGTATTTTCCATTTTTATTTTTTACAGTACATATGGAATAGTATTTTAACATTAATTAGTATTTGTCTACAAATATATATACTAATGTTCAAAAGCTTGCTGTCAGTAACATTTATTTAGCAAGTAAATATCAAAAATGACAGTAAAGACTTTTACATTGTTACAGAAGATTTCTATTTCAAATAAAATCGTTTGTTTTTTTTACTTTTTATTCATCAAAAAATACTGGAAAATGAATCATGGTTTCCACAAAAATGTAAGCAGCACAACTGTTTTCAACACTGATAATAGAAAATGTTTCTTGAGCACCATATCAGCATATCAGAATGATTTCTGAAGGATCGCGTGACACTGAAGACTGGAGTAATGACTGCTGAAAGTTTTGCCATCACAGGAATACATTAACATTTTAAATAATGTATATTATAATCGAAAAGTTATGTTTAATTGTAAAAATGTTGCTAATATTATTTTACTGTATTTTTGATAAATAAATGCAGCTTTATCGAGGATAAGAAACTTTTGAAAACATTAAAAATCTTACTAACCCCAAACTTTTGAACTGTAGTATGTACATACAAATCATAGTTTACGTCTAACTAAATCTGATTCGACAACCACCACGATGCGCTCATGCATTGCAAATATGCATTCTAATACATATTGTGATATTCTTTGGGTTTTCATGGTAATCCTATTATGGATTATGCTAATTGATCATCTATGAGGGGAAAAAATCAACTAAAATCCCATGGTAAAACTGAACTCTAAATCTAAAATCATAGATCGTCATAGAACCATATGCACCATATTAATGCTGGTTGCACAATAGTTTATCGCAATACTAAATGTACTATTTTCTCTAGTCACAAACATGTTTACTAAGAGGGATAATCTGCAAGTGAATGATGTGAATGCACTGTATGTGTTGAGTCTTTGAGCCGGACCTGACCCCCCTCGTGCTGAGTAATGGATTCCCACTGGGTAAATTTAGCTCCTTGTGAGACTTTGGTTCATTTCATAAAGGTGCTATTCTCATGTTGAGAATAGAGATATGCGGCTTCTCAGATAGATGTATATGTTTACGATGAGCATGATGAGTGAGCTGGACCACCAAGGCTCCAGATGAGAAGCTTATGAGAAGCCGTGTAGTTTCAGTATGGTCTGATATATTGAAAGCTTCTTCATAGCGAAACGTCTACCGAAAAGTCTGAGTTTCTACAATAACAAAGAGATGTTCTTGTTCAGTAAACTGTACACACAAGCTTGCCCATTCAGGTGCTCTTAAAAGAAAAACAGGCCGAGAACAAGCCTTTTCAGCTTGTTCTCTGTTTCTCCACGTTCCATTTCATTCTGCGTGCAGGTGTGGGGTCAAAAAGGCAAAGGTTAAAGGTCATCAGTGATGGTGTATCATGACATTGCCCTCATCGGCTAGGGTGATCTGAGCCACCTGGCGCACGGTGGAGATCTTCCTCACTGCCTTCTTAAGCATCACCTTAAAATCTTTTGATTCGTGTCTGTAAGACAGAAAAACAAAGAAGGAACACCAGCCTTAGTTGATCTAATACATCAACAAATGCATTTTTATCCAAAAAAACTACAGAAAGAAGATAGTATATCAACTGTTATATCAAATCTGTAATGGATTAAATAAAACATTTACATTATGTCACTTGGGAACACAAAACTTGTGAATATATACTGCATATATACAGTATACATAGTTTGTTTTGGTCTGTGTTAATACATGATACATGAAACACTGAGAACAAACAAGACATTCAGAGCATGACAGAACACACAAACAGAAACATAACAGCATGCCAAACATAGCCGACGGTCCATTTTGAAAAGCTGGCTATCCATATCGGAGGGGTGTCATCCGATCTGAAAGGAGAGAGCTTATATAACCACTATCTTAGGCAAGTCACACATCCCTCAAGTCCAAAAATATCTATGAGGTTGTACAAAATTACCATAAATTATGACATCAAATCATGCACACATACATTCTGTTTGAACGGTTACTCTGGTAAAAAAAAAAAGAGTCTATTTCATGTGCAAATGTATAAACTTACAATTGCAGAAATGACCAGAAATGAAAACGAAAGATAAAACAGTAGGATAATGTAGTATCATCTGAGAAACATTACTTGAAAGTAGAAGAACTGAGTCTTGTTTATGGTTGGAGAATGAAACCCAACCAAAATGGGGCAAAATTGGCAACAGCTTCCCATACTGACTCTTTAGCCCCATCCTGCCGTCCTCCCCACCTCCCCTGACTCTCTGTGCCACATTGAGTAATGTTATACATTCTCCATGCATAACATTACCTCAGTTTTTCTTCTTTGCAAGCTGTGCTTCTGCTTTCCGCTTCTTGTATGCGGCTATCTCCTCCATCTGCAAGCCATGAGCCATTTGCCTGAAAAATACATTGGAGAAGATAAACACAAAACACACACACACACAGTCTGCACAGGCCACAGAAAGGCCTCCCCTTACCCTGACTTGAGTATGGGCGGCACGGGAAGTGGTTTGGTGAAGCCATCTCTCCCGGTGAGCCAGTAGGTTTCTTCTACACCTTTGCCCTGTGGAGATGAGAGGATGAGAAGATGGACCAAATAGAGTCTTTCAGATGACTCGTCTATCTAAACCCATGAACTTAATCATTCAAGAGTTATTTTGCATTGTTGATCTTGCCACTCATTGGATATTTTACTTACTCACTGTTCAGTAAAATAGCTTAATTTGGGAAAGAAGTGGTATTAGTATATTTTACTGCATTTGGAGGCAAACCTTATGATCACGATTAGTTCCTGGCACATTTTACCCCCAAATGTTTCACACATTATACCCTACATCTGCTGTTTTGGGAAAAATACATGTTTTAATTCATTATGAATTATCTTGAACTACAATATTTACATGATTTTACCACCACTAGACCAACATATATAGTGCAGCAAATAATGCACCATTACATACACTACCATTCAAAAGTTTTGGGTTGGCAAGACTTTTAAACAATTTTTGTCTCTTATGCTCACCCAGGCCACATTTATTTGATTACGAGTACAGTAGAAACAGAAATATTGTTAAATATTACCGTAGTACAATTTAAAACAATGGTTTTCTATTTGAGTATATTTTAAAATGTCATTTATTCTTATGATGACAAAGCTGAATTTTCAGCAGCCATTGCTCCAGTCTTCAGTCAAGAAACATTTCCTACTACTGTTGAAAACAGCTGCAGTGTTTTTATGGAAACTGTGATAGGCCTACATTTTTTCAGGATTCCTTGATCAATAGAAAGTTCAAAAGAACAGAATTGATGTTAAAAATATTATAAATGTCTTTCCTGTCAGTTTTGATCATTCAATGTGTCTTTGTTAAATTAAAAGTATTAAATCTTTTTCAAAAAATCTGAACAGTAGTGTATAACTGAGAGGTTGTGAGATAAATCTTTGATTTGTCCTACAGATAAGCTCACCTTGAGTTCTGTTCTGGCTCTCAGCTCTACTTTGTAGCCCAATTTCAGCTCCATCAAGACCTTCACTGTACTGGAATGGACATGGATTCTGTACGCTACAAACACGCACAAAGATTAAGAGCAGTTTCCTTGCCTGGCATGGCCAACTGTACAATTAACGACAATCACTGAATTTCATTGATTACAGATGTTAATAACTTTTACATCTGTAATTTAATGAGACATGCATCTTTCCATATTCATCTTTGAAATATAGAAACAGAGCTGTATATGGTGAAACTGTCACATGCTTACGCAATCCTGTAGACTCCATTCTGGAAGCAGTGGTGACCGTGTCCCCAAACAGACAGTACCGTGGCATGGTCAAACCCACTACACCTGCCACACAGGGACCTAATAAGAAAGCATACATATGTAAAGAAAACATTTTACAATTTTTTTTTTTTTTACATTTAATCAACCAAATGGGATGAATCAGCCTGACCTGTGTGAAGTCCTATGCGGATGCGGACTGGTACATCAGGCATATGTCTCATTTTGAAGGTGCCAACAGCACTCAGGATGTCCAGGGCCATGTTTGCAATCTCGGCTGCATGTCGGTTTTCATTGGGCATGGGCACACCTGATGCTACCATGTAAGCGTCACCAATGGTCTCCACCTGCAGGCAATGAAGACAAGAGACATTCATTAGTAAACTGAAAGCTTACATTATCTTCAATTCAATGAAAGAAAATCTATGTGAAAGCAAACAAATTTGCTTATACTGTGATTACAAAAAATAAAAACACAGCTAATAAATGTTAACATCACTTTTGTAATGTTACCTTATAGACGTCATGATCGCCAATTACGGCATCAAATGTAGTGTAAAGGTCATTGAGGAGGTCGACCACCTCTATGGGCTCGCTGTTGGCTGAGATTGTGGTGAAGCCGACAATATCACTGAAATAAAGACTGACACTGTCAAAATACTCTGGTTCGACTGTAGTGCCCCGCATCAGGGCCTCTGCCACTGACCTAGAGAGGATGAACAAAAACAAAGGACACTTTAAAAATATTGGAATTATTCAAAAACTTTACTTATATGAGTGATTGAAAGCTGTTCTCCGTCTATTTCTCTAAATATCACATCCGTGCATAGTGTGATGGTAAAGTCATTGCTGTAACTGTGTGTCTGTCACTTACGTGGGCAACATTTGTGTGAGGAGTTTCTCAGTCTTTTGTTTCTCTATTTCCAGCTCCTCTGTCCTTTCCCTGATCAGTTCCTCCAGGTTGGAGGAATATTGCTCCAGCATTCGCAACATGGAGTCTATGATGTTGGTCTTTTTCCCTTTATTAACATTCTTGAACTGTAGAGAGAATAAGGAGGAGATGGAGAACAGCAGAGAATATAAGAATAGAATCTCTAAAATCAGACTGACCTCATACAGTTTTTCTCCATTGCTTGGTTATTCAGAGACCTATACATTATCAATCTCTGTTTTCATTTCAGTCTTACAACATAAACTTCTCCGTAAAAAAAGTTTGTAATTTTACAACAACAACAAAACAAACTTACTTCAGCAAATTAATTAATGAATAAATAAATGAATAAACAAATAAACGTAATTGCTTAACTATGAGTTAAACACCCGTACATGGTGAAAACTGCAAATGGTTTAATAATATGGTTTAATACATATGAATATATATACTGTATATTTAATATTATGTAACTTTATGGTTACCATACCAACTATGAATTGCCATGTCATGTCATAGTGAAAAATAAGTAAAGGACTTTCCCAGAAGTCCCTGCATGACATTTTTTGTTATCAGTAATGCGCATTCATAATGTGATGTTTTTTGTCACGTGTTATTTAGTGTATGTTTATTGCATTATTTTAGCATTATGTGTGCTACCCTGATGTTGTGAGTATTAGCCATGTTTTATGGACTACTTGAACTCTGATTCATCATGTGGCTTATTGTTTTACTACCTGCATTATTATGGTGGTTATGAGTACATTTTACATTTGGGTACATCCGTATATTATTTCACTTAATGAAATTAATGACTATAGAAACTAGAAACAATGTAACACTGAATTTCTGGCAACCTCAGAAATCTGACATTATGGTGATGGTTTTGCAGTGCTGTCAGTGTTCACCTGGTCAAAGATTTCCTCAAATGTGGGTCTCTTCTCTGGCTGTTCATTCCAGCACTGCTTCATAAGCTGAATACACTCCATGGGAGCATGATCCGGGGACACAAGGGGCCGGCACATTGGAGGAGGCTTCCGGATCTTCTGGACAATTTCTATATAATCCAGATGTATTAAAGACTTAAACACTGTACAATTACTGTAATGACATGCCTACACAACAATCTACCACTATAGACAGTACAATATAGATACAGTATAGGGGTCCACAGAAAAGTTCGGAGAAAACCAATGTCATCAAAAAGTTTGAAAAGCCCTGGTATAGATAGTGGGGTCATGTGACTTTACCATCAAAAGAGTTCTCCAGCATGCAGAATGGAGGCCCTCGCATGACCACTTCTTGCATGATGATTGAGAAACTGTACACATCACCAGGGTGACTGCCATACAGGCCAGGGTAGGGTCCTCTCAGAATCTCAGGGGCGGTCCACAGAAGGGCTGTGGGGGTTCAAATACTTGAACATCCTATGCAAGAGATCAGTAACAAGAAAAGTCTCACAATAAAACCTTACCTTCAGCTGGAGGTTCAACATAAGGAAATCTCTGAGCTTCCAACACCTCGTTGTAGCCATAGTCTGTGATTTTGAGCACGAAACGCCCATCGACCACACAGTTCCTGGATTTAAGCCTTCCATGACAGATGTTCCTGTGGTGAAGATATTTCATACCCTGCATGCCAGTCAGAAACACACATAAGCTTACATGTGGTGTAACTGCAAATGCATTTATGTGACAATAAACGTACATACTAGAGAACTAATGTATAAAACCACACAAATCAAAAAATAATGATAAGAATCCTGTTTTTAATGACTTTAATGTTTATAAAGTCTCTTTTTGTGGTTTGGGTATAAACTGAGAAGACATTATCAACATGTGCTTGCTATATTTCAATGCTTTTCAAATGAATTTTCAATTCAACCAATCACACTCCTAGTAAGAGCACCTTGATGAGGTCTAGAATGAGAGAGGACTTGAACATCCAGTCCAGTTTGACGTCATCATTGAGCAACAGATCTTCCAAGCTGCCGCGCGAACAATACTCTGTTACTATGGCAAACACTCCACAGTCATGGAAGAAGCCGAGAAAGGGGTTAACATTCTCGTGCCTCATATCTTTCATCTGGAATATCGAGAGCAATTGTATGATAAAAGAAATAATCACCAACAAAGAACATACAAACAGAATGTCCTACAAACAGAATGAGCACTACTATGTAAAAATCAGTGGAAAAACTAACCAGTTCAAACACATCACTGGTATGAGGAGTGATGCTCCGGAAATTTCCATATGGCAGCCTTTTGAGCCATGCCCAATCACCCTGCAAAATGAGAACCATTCGAGAAAATGTTCAGTCATTTACATTAAATATGTGTAAATAATGCATCTAAATGGTTGATATAGCATAACATAATCTTTTCATGATGTTTATTTATAATGTTAAGGTTAAGGTTTCTTGCACTCATTATCTAGTTTTATAATCACAATCTAGTTCTAAATGACCATTTTCCACCATCTTTTTGACCCTTAGAATAGAAAAAGAAAAAAAATCTGTGAAACAATAATATTATAAAATATTATTACAATTTAAAATGACTGTTTTCTGTTTGAATATATTTTAAAATGTAACTAATTCCTGTGATGGCAAAGCTGAATTTTCAGCATCATTACTCCAGTCTTCAGTGTCACATGATCCTTCAGAAATCATTCTAATATGCTGATTTGCTGCTCAAGAGACATTTCTTTATTATTATGAACGTTGAAAACAGTTGTGCTGCTTAGTATTCTTGTGGAAACAGTGCTATATTTTTTTCCAGGATAGCAAAGAATAGCAATGATTAAAAAATCGACATTTTTTGTACCAATGTAAAAGTCTTTACTGTCACATTTGATCAATATACTGCATTACTTATTAAAATGATCAGTTACTTTCTTACTGACCCCACACTTTTGAATGATATTGTAGTTTACACTGTTGTTTATCATGGTGGGTCATGCTGTTGAATGCTGAATTACCATTGTGTATGAAATGTGCTATACTGTATAAATAAACATTGATATGTAGATGTAATTGTGACAAATCATATTTGCAACTTCATTTTCATAAATGCTGTAAGTGGACTGTGAAGGGATTTTTGGTTTGTGACTGTTAAATCTATAGTTTATTTTGAAGAAAAAAAGATTTTTCATAATATGAGCCTTCAAATTCAATCAGTCATTTTACATAACCTATTGAGAGTTTTTCTTTTACCTCATAAATGACAACATTAGAATTTTCGAAGGTGGCTGGCGACTGAATAGACAATGGAGACTTGAGGCTTCGCTCTGAAGTGCTCATTCTTGAGTCACTGGCCTTGCTGTCATCCAAACTCAGCTTCTGTTTTTCAGATACAAGTATTAATAATTAGAGTATATGAATGTTTATTTGTGTGTGCATGTGCTTGTGCTACTGACCTTATTGCTCAGGGATGGGTTGATGAACGTGACATCATTTAAAGTCAGTAAAATCTTATTCGGACCCCGCACCATTCGGATCTTACTAATTTTACGCCTATACAAAACATTTAGAAATATTTAAAGAAACGTTCTGTAGTAGTCTACACACTTTGAACAACTTTAAATGTTACGCTAAATTTAGGTTATAATTTGATGAATACCTGATGCAGTAAGAACAGCCAATTGAGAAGAAGATGAACAGAAAGCCAGACAGGAAGATTAAAACCATGTGTAAAAGATTCACACCTGTAACACAGAGGGTGATTGATACATAAAATGCATGTATGTCAATGTGAACGAATAACCAAAAAAATCGCACAACTCACCTCCACGGCAGATGATCCCATGTGTAAACCAGCAGCTGGAATCAGTTTTTGGTGGTCCAGCTGGGGGGAAATGAATCGGCCGTCCCAGAAAACGCACCATATCTGTCTGCATCTCAATATGGTATGTAGGTTGCAACTCCCAAGAAAAGCCATCTGTGTCCAGCACCACATAGTCCAGCATGCCAAAGTCAGAGAAGTTTGCGTGGAGGCTAAAACCTTTGAATAGCAGGTTTCGGGCATTCTGGGCGATGTTCCCCCCAGACATCCACTGACCTGAAGCCCTGACACTTTGCACAGCATGAGCCATGAACACGATGGAAGAGTAGATGGTGCCAAACAATGGGGACACCTATAAGAGATGTGAAGGTTTTACATTAGCTACTGTATATATACTGTGTTAAAGCCTCAATTTAAACCATTGCTGTACCTGCTGTGGGTTAAGGTTCCTGGGAAGCTCTCCTTGCTCCTGGGCCTTTTCAAAAGCTTGGTAGAAAGACTGCTCCTGTGGAGACTCTATAGTGATGGTGAGCACGGCATCGTAGGCTCGTAGCAGCTTGCTGTTATGGCGCAGGGCAGGCTGGGTTACATGATGGTAGGGCAGACTGTAAAAGAGCGTATCGTAAGGTAAAAACACCAGCGAGCCGTCTGTCATCCGCATGTCATAAGCTGTCTCCAACAGCAACTTCTGGGTTCCTCCACCAATCAACACCGAGTGCATAACGAGGATGACCACTGCAAACAGACAGGTAGAAAGAACAGTGTATTGTATATTATTTTAAATCATTATTTTTAATACAGTAAAAACTTTTATTATTTAAATCATACTTATTTTTTATGAAAACATATAACAGAGTAGTTATTTAAAAAATAAATATTTCAGTATAGAGAAAAGGAAATATAATTTTTTTTAGTGTACTAATCTAAATATGAGCTATTTTTTTCAGCCAAACTGCTGACAAAATTGCTAGTAATATAATTTTTAATGAAAAGTTTTGTATTCAAGTGTATTTTACAAATTAATTAATTAATTATGGTTTAAAGTTTTGATGTCAGTAATATTTTGTTCTAAGAAATAATACTTTGATTCAGCAAAGATGCATTAAATTTCTATTAAAAATTAACGTTGTTCTTTTGAACTTTTGATTCATTAAAGAATCTTGAACATCAGTATATTAGGACAATTCCTGAAGAATTATGTGACACTTAAGCCTGGAGCAATGGCCATAACAGGAAAAAAATTACCTTTTTATTACTAAATTTATACTAACACTAATTATTCATTTTAAAATATATTGTACAGTTACAATACAATGTTAATATTACAGTTTTTTCCCATATTTTTGCATACAAGGTTTCTTTCAAAATATCTTACCAAACTCAAACTGTTGAACAGTAGTGTATAAATACTGAGAAGTATCAGTATCAAAACAAACAGTTTTTTTAATAGTTAATGTTACAGTTTAAAATGTGAGCAGATCACTTATCACTACATCATATCATTCAATATTAGCCATGTTTTAAACTCACAGCGGAGATCTGCCACTTTCTTGACTCTGGCCAGTGTCTTACGCACGCTGGTGTGGTCATTACGAACAGATGCCACAATGCTAACAGGCATCCCATGATTCCTCAGGGCACTGGCCAGCTTTATACCCGCCTCAAACCAGGCATCCTCTGCTGATGTAATGATGCCCACATGTGCCCAGCGAAAGTGGTGCATGAAGCGTAGCAGGACGAGGGAGGGTAGAGGCATTGTGCGGGCAAACGTAGGGTGACTACGGGCGTCATCCAACTCTTGTCCAATACAAGACCAGGAAAACACTGCCTTATTCCAACTCTTTCCTAGCAGAGAGGCAGCTTCACAGTAACCTGGGTTCACCGGACCAATAAACCCAGACGCCCGTGTGTAGAAACCGAGGAAACGGGCAAAAGCCTGGGACGTCTCACAGTCCTCCTCCAGGATGACATAATCAAACGTGATGCCCTGTGAGAGGTAAGGGTCCCTGTTGATGTGATCCACAGCTAACTGCGCAGCCACGCCGGGCTGAGCTTTAGTAAAGAGGGGGTCACATGACCAAGGACCCACCACCCCAACCCTAACGGTGGCAGCAGAGGTGGCAGGGAAAAGGCACAGGAAGCTTACAGTATACAACAGTGGCCAGAGACACAAATAGGTATATTTATGAGTGCTTTGGTCAGGGATCTGGAGTCCTCTGGTGGCCCATGCTGGACATAAGCTGTGAAAGGCACTGGATGGCCGTAGCATTGCAGGGTAACAGGTCAGCCACACAGCTGGTGGGTTGGCACACAGTGGAGCTTCTTCACTGTCACATGAGAGATGCCCTTAATGTCAATCAGGTCAGCAGCCACAGCAAACTACGAAAAAATGAACATATGTAAACTGATAGAACTGATAGATCTGTTTGTTAAAATGATTATCAGTTCATATTTAGCATGTTATGCTGTAAAAATGCTTTCAGAGCAGCAAAAATACAGAAACCAAGAAGGATTTAATCTATAAATTTGTGCTGGTTATTAATGGTGTAAGATTGGGAGTGAGAGGATTGCTGAAATCCTGTTAAGAGTACAGCATAATGCGTAGGCTACTCACTTCAACTTTATCAAAATAAAACATTTAATACATTTAGGCTATTGTATTGTTATCCCCAAAACAGATATAACATATCCTTCACTATACTGGGTATCAATATGACAATATGAAACTTAAGGGACTTTAAATGTTGATTATCCAAGTAAGGCTCTGCTGCTTGAGTTTTTTGTGATCATCACAGCCAAAAGTTAGAAATAAGTATCTTTAAGTAAACTAATTCAATTAGTTTGAACGTAACCGTTCAAAGCAGAAATACATCAGTACAAACTATAATCAACAATTGCAACACTTTTTTAACTTATTGACTTTGTTTTGACTTCATAGAGTTACTGTTGTCAATTTTTAAAACTGCAGTCTAGCATTACCAATTAGTGACACCATTTAACTGTTTAACCATTGTATTTGACTTACGGACTGTAACTGCCAAAGTAATACCTGATTGTTCATTTCTATAACTTGTTGTCTTCATCTGCGTAAATCCTGTCCATGGAAATGCTGTGACCATATGCAAAAATCAATTATTTCTTATTATTTGCACATATGTTGTGAAATAAATCAAAATATGAGCAGCAGGTTCGATCACGGTCTATCCAGAACTGAGTTACAGTTATAATCTTCTCTTGTGCTGTGCACACCATGCCACTGCTGACCTCAATGAATGACCTGAAGATTATATCAATCCAATTTTCAGTCTGTGTAATGGACACATTATAGTGTTGTGTATGTTCTTCCAAAAATGACAGCTGCTGGTAATTGATGCTAAAATACAAACATATTATAATTTAAGTGTTGACATAATGAATACTTGTTTTAAAAAAAAATAGCATAGAAATAGCAAGAATAAGAACTGAACCAGCACTTACTCCCTGTTGAAAAAAACAGCATATGCTGGTTAGGTATGTTTTGACGCTGGGATAAGCTGATCCTTTGCTGGTCCTTTTGCTGGTTTGTGCTGGTCCTTTGCGAGCACATGACCAGCATAAACCAGCAAAAGGACCAGCATAAACCAGCAAAGGACCAGCATAAACCAGCAAAGGAACAGCTAAAACCAGCAATGGACCAGCAAAGGACCAGCTTAAACCAGCAAAAGGACCAGCATAAACCAGCAAAGGACCAGCATAAACCATCAAAGGACCAGCTAAAACCAGCAAAGGACCAGCATAAACCAGCAAAGGACCAGCTTAAACCAGCAAAAGGACCAGCATAAACCAGCAAAGGACTAGCATAACCCATCAAAGGACCAGCATAAACCAGCAAAGGACCAGCTAAAACCAGCAAAGGACCAGCAGAAACCAGCAAAGGACCAGCATAAACCAGCAAAAGGACCAGCATAACCCAGCAAAGGACCAGCATAAACCAGCAAAAGGACCAGCATAACCCAGCAAAGGACCAGCATAAACCAGCAAAAGGACCAGCATAACCCAGCAAAGGACCAGCATAAACCAGCAAAAGGACCAGCATAACCCAGCAAAGGACCAGCATAAACCAGCAAAAGGACCAGCATAACCCAGCAAAGGACCAGCATAAACCAGCAAAAGGACCAGCATAACCCAGCAAAGGACCAGCATAAACCAGCAAAAGGACCAGCATAACCCAGCAAAGGACCAGCATAAACCAGCAAAAGGACCAGCATAACCCAGCAAAGGACCAGCATAAACCAGCAAAAGGACCAGCATAACCCAGCAAAGGACCAGCATAAACCAGCAAAGGACCAGCTTAAACCAGCATCCCAGCGTCAAAACATACCTAACCAGCATATGCTGTTTTTTCAACAGGGCTCTAGGGGGCAGTAGAATCCAATAAAGTTCCCAGTTGTGTCTGCCTGCCTGGCTGATATTATTTTGGTGTTGTGCGTGGTCTCCGTTTTCATTTTTTTTTTCCAAACACCTAATTCTGGTAAAGCTAGCTAAGTTTCAGGAACAAAAGTGACAAAGATTTGCGGTTCACTTTCATAATCTGCTCCATCTGTCCCACCACCCTCTCTTTCCTCTCTGCAATCTTTCACAAATACTTTCCCTTGCCAGATAATTGCTTTCTTATGCAGTGAGTGACCAAAATTAAATCATTGACCAATCAGAATGTTTTAGTAAAGCCTTGTCTAAGAAACTTTCCATATGCCATATCCCCATGTTTTATGTGCTCAGTCAAAGCTCATGGAAGATTTTCTCATCCATAATTCTCATAATGCCCCCTCGAGACTTGACCTGCCGTCACTGCGGTCATCTCTAGGAGAGAGGCACAGAGAAATGTGTCACTCACATGTCAAAGGTAATGAATATGGAAAGATTGCTGTGGCAGATATTAGTGTCTCACAACATTCCCTCGCTGCCATCCAAATCTTCCGTCACCAGTCATTCAGACAGATGAGCGTTCTTGCGCATTGTTTACTTAGGCTAAACTAAGCAGTGTTGGGGGTAACGCATTACAAGTAACTTTTTTCAAGTAACTAGTAAAGTAACGCATTACTTTTTAATTTGCAAGAGCATATCTGAGTTACTTTTTCAAATAAGTAACGCAAGTTACTTTTTTTCCTCCAATTTATTGATTGACAGCTCTGGTGTCCCCATGTTGAGAGAAATCAGATGTTACTGTAGTTATAAAATAAATATGAATATGCATTAATTCATCTCACTCACAAAAAAAACACACACAGATTCAGTATTCCTCAAAATGAATAAAAAATAATGCAACTCAGAATATGACGCAAACCTGCAATAATTAAATTTTAAACAACACAAATATCCTTTATGTATTTAATCCCATTCTATTAACCAATGATTTTGCTTCTGACCTTCGATGATCCAGTTCAACCATACTAAGAAGCACAAATTACTCTAGTGTCTTTGTTTATTGCTGAAGTGTGTTGAAATGTCTTCTTCTGCGTTCTACTGTACAGATGTAAATGTACTTTCCCTTCAGCCCGAGGCTTATTCATTTCACTTCTGGTGTGAAAAGGCTTTTATATTTGCCAAAAATATAACTTTTTTTATTTTAAAAACAAACAAGCAAGCCCTGTCCAGATTTTAAAAGTAACGCAAAAGTAACGTACCGCCTTACGTTCCATAAAAAGTAACTAAGTACCGTAATTAGTTACTTTTTTATGGAGTAACGCACTATTGTAATGAATTACTTTTAAAAGTAACTTTCCCCAACACTGAAACTAAGTATTAGAAATGTAGAGTATAAAAAATAAGAGAAAATTTACAAAAAGCACACACTGCGTGCTTGAATTCTGAATACTTTCAAAGTTATGAGATAAGTAAATAAACAAGTATTGATACACTCAAAGGTAACGTAAGCCAGTCGTGATGATAATGATTAATAATATTGTGGAAAGGATGACCTCTGGTGACAAACTGGAGAAGTTGCAGATCAAGGCGTGGTATTTAGATCTACATACTCAAAATTCAAGTTTTTTTTTATTCGGATTACATTAAAATGCCTTCCAGAATAGCAAATAAAACCCACATAACTATTTATATCATAGAATAATAAGGAATGGAAACTTAAATCATTCCAGACTTAGATTGTTGACTGGTTATGATGAGGCTTATTTAATACTTTAATGCCACATATAGTCTAGAAGAAAAACAGATGGAGTTCAATGATTTGCTATGAATCTTTTCTGTTGTAGTAACCAGGAGCCAGCTCTAAAACACTGCCCAGTGATCCAGTTCTGTTCTTTATGTGTGTGCATGTGTTGATATAGGCTGTGCATAAACACACATTTATAATATGATGTATTTGTATGTGAAATTGAAGAATATGTGTATAAGAAAGTATTTGGATATATTTGTCAGCATATGGACAGTTGCACAGTTGCACTACTGAGAAAAAACACATTTGAATCACAGTTAGATCATTAGATCACATTAGATCACAATTACAAAAATGTCAATAAGGTAAGTTTTTATCAAAGAGCAGGTAAGGTCTGCAAAGCAAAGAAGTCACTGTATCAAGACAAACAACTGATTCATTAACAAACTAAATAAATGTGAATTGGTCAAAATAACAAAATGCATTTAAAGATTTTAGCTAATTGCTAACTTTTCCCCACACTCTCGCTAAACGCCATAAAAAAGACAAAAAATAAAACCTGAATGCACACAGTGGTTGATAGAGAGCGTTTCTGATATGAAACAAGGATTTATTATTGCTGTTTTTAAGGCTGTTTATCATATGGGTTATTTTAGTATAGGGTTATTTTTTGTGTGTGATTTATTTTATTATGCTTACAATACCTGTAAAGTGTCAAGTCAGAAAAACTACTGAGGGCAGATGCCAAATATAGATGAGCTGCTCTGGCTCAAAATCATGGCTAAGGACACTTTACAGCAGGAGTGTCTTGCACTTTATTTATTTTATTATTTTTGAAGAAGAAGAAGCACCAGTCCTGGCATACATGGTGACCAGCAAAACGAGATGACAAAGATATAACCAAGGAAACTAATATCTGGGTTCATGAAACAAGGAAAAATTGCAACATGGTCATGTAATCACAATGCATTCTCCCTGTATGGAAAAGAGCAGCTTAAACATTTTGATAAAAAAAACCTTTTGTGTTCTAAGAGGGAAGATTCAAATGTTTTGCTAACTTTCCCATTAATATAGGAAAAATATTATTTCTGATACTTTACTTTGTACGTTCTCGGAATGTTCTGAAACAAATGTATACAACAGTGTTTCAAAAATAAAACATTCCATGAATGATTTATAATAATGTATTTGTGCTAAAATTCCAAGAACATTATTAAAGACCAGATAACTCTAAATGAATATTGTATTAACCTTACTAGAAGACATTTTGTTCATGACTTTGCCAGAACATTAGTCAAAGTTCTGACAATGTTCTGGGATGCCAATGCATCAGAGGACAACTGCTAAATACCATAGTAGACAAAAATGAGTGCAAACTGAATCTGCACCTCTCTGACCAAGTCTCTACAAACTCTGCCTGAAGTTTCAACACTGTTGGGCTGATTTTTGGAGACTACACTCTAAAAAATGCCGGGTTGTTTCAACCCAACTTTGAGTCAAATATGGACTAACCCAATTTTTGGGTTAAAACTTTAATTCAAAAATTTATATCAGGGAGATGGTTTATTAAATCTGTCTCATGCAAACTAAAGGAGAGGCGCCACTGATTCAGGCTTGTGGTCTAATCCAGCACCAGATCCCTCTGATTTTTGTAATTGTAGGCCTACTTAAATGTTAAGGTCAGGCCAGGTAACATACCTTAACTGTCTTAAAATGGTGTGGCAAACACTTATTCAAATGTACGTTATTTTCTAAGTATGTTTATTTATCAAACAAATACTGAAATATGTGTACATGAAATTTGAGTTTAAATATTTTAGAATTTTAACTGTTTACCCCATGAAGAAAACAAACATGTATAAAACAATCAACTATCATAGTCACAATAAGTGGAATAATATGAAGCGGCTTCATGAACAACATCGAATTTGAAGGAATATCTTATCGCTGAATGGCGCAACAGGACTGATCAATCAGAATCTGGTATCTTAGAGCTGCGTAATAATTGTGTACACAACATTGTCTTATGCTTGATGAGGAAATTTTTATACAGGATTTTATCCTTGCTTCACATTAAACAATTGAATTTAAGAAATGAATCATAATCCTGGAAAACCAGAAAACATTTGCATAAAAGCAGCTAAACAATTTAACGAAAACAAACTTTTTGGCCTTAAAACCATTAGAAGTTCAGTGCCAGGAGTCCCATGTTACAGTTCATCCAGAGCACAGTGATCTCACTGCTCATCTATACTTGCAAAATCAGCTGGCAAGTTTCTTTGTTTTGCCTCGTGTTTCACAATCACTTATGCAACAGCATTTTGTTAAAACTTTCTGAATCCTATACAGTCACATTCGTCAATCATATCATCCTCATAGTGCAGTCGCTGACTTGACCTTGGAAGACAAGACTTGCCGGAACCTTCTCTTCAGCTCTTGCATGTTTGGGCTCTTTGGCCTGGCAAGGTGTAGTCCACCTTTTCTCTTCTCCCCATTTCCTCCTCCCAGCGCTCGGCTAACCTCCTGACATAAGTACAGAAAAGCAGCCTGGACGCTCTCATGGTTCTCCCTGGCCGAAGCCTCAAAGTAGGGCCCTCCCAATTCATCAGCCAGCGCCTTACCCTCGTGATCCGGGACCTGCCGGGCACGCAGCAGGTCGCTCTTGTTTCCCACAATGATAACAGGGATGTTGCCGCTGGGATGGATTCGCCGCACATGTTGATAGAGAGGCTGGATGGTACGGTAGCTGTTGAGGTCAGTGATGGAGAAGACGAGAACATAACCATCTGCCCAGTAAATGGAGCGGTTGATCTGCTCTTGACAGTAAAGACCCTCTGCGTCATCCTGGAATGAGAAAACTGGTGTTTTTATTCCAATTTTATATAACATTGTTTATGAAATTTATTAGCAATTTCTGGGTGAAAATTGGGTTACACTTTATTTTAAGGTGTCATTGTTACAGTGTAATTATATATTTATATACTGAGTAACAGGGGCGCCGGGTAACTACACCCACCCCTCCACCTACGACCCCGCGACCCCGAGTAAATATGCTGTTCAGGGGGCCCACAAACCATAGCAGAGCCCCTGCTGAGTAATATTACTGAGTATTAGGCATGGGCCGATTACTGGTTTCAAGGTATACCGCGATTTGAAAATGTCACGGTTTCAAAACCACTAATATTTTCCGTTATACCGCTCCTGCGGTATGCACTGTTTTTCATGTCTCCTCAAAGACTGAAAGTGTAGGAATCCCTCAGGTTGAGTGCAGTGTAGAGAGTAACAGGACCCTCCTCCTACTGTTGGTGTGAGCGAGCGGTCAGTCACGTGTGTAGGATGGCCGAACTTAAGGAGCTTCCCCTGGAGCTTACGCGATCGCCAACCAGACGTTTTTTTGTCTTATTGCAGCTCGTCTCTGTTCTGGACTTGCACAAACTGCGTTGCAATGCAATCATTTTCCAAAATGTCATTTATGTGAAAATATGAAGTCTGTAAACGCCCGTTAACACAGGCCAGAGACGCTGAAGACGGACGCAACGAAAAATACTGTAACAGGCAGATCACTCACTGTTCATGATGCACAAACTATTTGAAGAAAATCCTCAAAATTGATTTGGGGGTTTATATGAATGTGTTTCTGAGGGGAACTGACTGTCCTCAGAAAGGTTTAGATGGTATTTTCTTTTCATCTCGTCTCTGTATAGTTCAGATAGCAGTGTTGTTTACAGCGGTAACCAAGGAAACGCCTTATCTGGTGTTCCAGAAGCGCCTCCTGCTGTCAGAGAGTGAATCTGCATCTCATTCAGAGCATCTGCTGTTTGCTTCCTTCAGGCATGTAGTATAATTTCACAAATTATGTATATCAAATTATAAAACTAAATGATATGAAATGATATATATGATATGTATATGAATTATATAACTACAATGAAATAACTGTAATTACAGATTTAGGTTAAATAAATAAATCTTTTTAGGAAACAAATCAAAGACAAAATAAACAAATTCTACTCTGTTCCTAATATGCTGTATGTTGCTCAAAAACAAAATATATTGTGTTCAGTGGAAAAAAGTTTTTTTTTTACCCAGTCATTTAAAAATAACACATTTTAGAGCTGTGACGACAATACCGTGATATTTTTGCTTAAGGTTATCATACCGTCAAAATCTCATACGGTAAAGAAAATAGTTATTTTAAATAGTAATAATATTTCACAATTTTACTGTTTTTACTGTATTTTTAACCAAATAAAAGCAGCCTTGGTGAGCATAAGAGTCTTCTTTAAAAAAAATAAAAATCATAATGATTCCAAATGTTAGACAAGTAGTATGTGTATGTGTGTGTGTGTAATGTAATTATATATATATATATATATATATATAATTACATTATTTTGTGAATGAACTAATCATTTTACTGCAATGGAAAAAATATATATAACATGAACTAAAATTATTTGAATGACTGCTGATATAATATGTTTAATATGTTTTTTAACAATAATAAGGCTGACTACCAATAAGTTAGTTCTAACATAACAACTAAGTACATTCTCAATCATTATAACACCTATATATACACTGCGCTTGAGCCAGGATCAGATTCATTCAGTTGAAGAGAGCCCTTCAGTACACATGAGTCAGACTAATGAGCTTATGGCTGAACACACCCTCTTTATCTCCCCTGCACTGCATACTTTGTTTACTGGCCAAATGTTTGAACTAATATTCCCCACAGTTCATCTGAAGCATGCAGGAATCCCACAGGCGATGACTGAGTGATCTAAATGACTGTGATAATACACCATGGGCACACTACTTTTGATGAAGGTTTAGCTGAACGACAGAAGGAAGTGTTAGGAATGTGATTTGGCGGTACCTGGAGTGAAACACACGGAGTGTCCTGCACTTGTAAAGAAACTTGCTCCCCATCCAAATTAATCTTCCTTGAATACAAGGCTCCTAGGAATGTTGAAAAAGAAAAAATCCACTTACTAAAATGATAAACGTCAGTGTATTTTCAGTGTAAAATGTTGAAAGTCTGATCAAGTTTATTACGGATAACAGAAATGATTGTAACCACTAACCAGTAAAACAGTCTGAAACAAAAATGTCATGATGATGAACACATTTTTACAGTTCATAGGAGCATAGTATAATAGCATTGTTTCAGTATAATGTTTACCTGTGTTGGCTTCATAGTCTCCTATGAATCTCTTAGTAAGAAATCGTACAATCAGAGCTGAAAATTAAAACCAAATAGAAACTTTGTATCAGCATAATAGGCATAAGCATTGTCACATAGCTCGTGCACAACTGTGCAGTGTTCCAGTGTATGTCGCACCCTGGCGTTAAACTAGCTTAAATATCTCCAACATCATCGTTTGTTCAGGATTAGCGTCTCTATTAATGACTTTAAACAGAATAAACTGTATACACATTAAATCACCAAAGTGCCATTAGAATAAGTTACTATGTAATAAAAAAAATATGATGGCATAAAGTAAAATGAGTTATATTACTTGTACTTGTAAATTTATTTTAAAATATACATATTTTACATATTAAAAGCCACATTGTTTGATATATTTACCTGTTTTTCCGACATTGCTTGCACCAAGAACAACTATTTTGACGTTCTTGTTTGGCACGCAGTCTAGTACAGGATACTCCGGTATAGGCACTAGCAGAAAGTTGCTAGAGCCACTGCTCATTGTTCTTGGCTGTTCGATAAGAAGACGCATTTAGAAAGCTGTAACTATTAGGCTATTCGACTGTCTAGAAATGCATCTCTTTTCCTCCGCGTTCTCGCGCTATACGAGCCCTCCTCACAACGCGAGAAGCTTTCTGTTATCTGCGTTTGGCAGACAGAGGTCTTCATAATAAATGCAATCCAGTGCACCCCAAATGCTGGCTCCAGTTCTGCACGACATGAATGCTAATTTTGCATACCGGCCCTCCAATGAAGTAACTAATATAGTCTAGCAAAGCTAAATTGAACCGTTCACAACCCGCAGTTCCTGATCGCAAGATCTCTTTCCAGATCGCAACTGCGCCTTCAGCAAAAAAAGAAAAAGAAAAAAAAAGCGGACAAGGAAGAGGGGCGTGAATAAACCAGCTCACTCAAGACCCAAATTCATTTATAAAATTTGAATGCTAAATGCTTAGCCTAAATGTGAGTATTATATTTATATTATATTGTTATTAATAAAATGTTTTTGCATTAAAATGCATTTATATATTAATAAGCGTGCTATATCGAAAAGAATGTGCATATTGTTTAATGACTTTTTAATTACTATTAACTATTTAATGACTTTTTTGAAGCACTATCGTAAAGTGTAGATACGCGCTAGAGCTGTTAGCCTATCATAACGCAAATCTAAGTTAGCTGATTTAAGTTTTAGTTTTATTTAATTTGAGTTATTTTAATTCTTCAACAAACTAAATGGAAATGAAATAATGTATATATTGAATTTATAAATGTATATATATATATATATATATATATGTATGTGTGTGTGGTTGTACATACACATACACATATATGTAGTTGTTTTTTTATGTTTGGCTTAGTGTTATGTTAGAATCATTATTATACTCTTATACCTTTTGTTCTTTAATAGTTTGAATTGTTTTTAGCTTTATTTTTTGTTTTTCATTTAAATGTTAA